GCACAAGTGAGTTAGAGGCTCTCCTAGCACTCCCCAAGCATGGACACTAAGTCCTAAGGGTGCTAAGTGTGTGCCAAGGCCGGCCACGCACTCATTTTATAGCTCCAAGGGCTAAAATAGTCGTTACCCCCTTCATCCTGATTTCTGCGCACTGACCGGACTCACCCCATAGTCCGGTCCACAATCCGGTCGCAGAGTCCGGTCGCTCCTCGTGCACCACGTGTACTAGCCATTCGAAGATGATCGTTGCTCGCCAACGGCTAGCTCCTGCACGCGCATACTCCTGACCGGACGCGCCTAGGTCCAGCGACCGGATGCGCCGAGGCCGAGTCCGGTCACCAACGTGCCTCTGCACAACTAACCGGACTCTCTTTTCTCCTATGACCGGACTCGACTCTCCCAGAGTCCGGTCACTTTCAGAGAGGTTCCAGAGAGCTCTTTTGATGACCGGACTATCTGTGCGTCCGGTCGCTCCTGGACGCGTTGAAAACATTGACCGGACTCTCGACTGGACTCACAGGTACTGACCGGACGTGTCCGGTCACATACCTTTCAACGCTAAAACGGCTATAAGTCTTAGCTCTGAACTCCGATTTCGATGATCTTGGATATTTTGGAAAGCTTATTCAGAGGGATACACAACCCACTTGCATATTTGATCCAAACCACAATGGATCAATGCAGAATTCCAAATCAAGAGCCATCCTATAGTTCGGAGTACACTGAAAAACCTCTCTCTTCTCTAAGTTGATCCAATTCAACTCCTACAACTTCTCCTTTGCAAATGTGCCAACACCACCAAGTGCACACCACCAAGTGCAAGTGTGTTAGCATTTTCACAAAACATTTTTCAAAGGATTAGTCACTTAATTCACCACGCCACTCGATCCTAGCAGCATCACAAAGTTAGATCGCTCAAGTAGCCAACAAATGAGTGTGACATAAGCAGGGCAGTCCCTGCCTGAAAAGTATCGTTTTCTCAATGAAGCCAACAAATGAGTGTTGAAAAAACATGAGTTCAGTTTTCAACAGTTCTGATCATCTTTATGGGACATGTAAATTTGGAGTGACTATTCCATGTTGTGCTCTAACTTTCTTGGCCATGCTTTGTGGTATTCTTGTAGAGAAATGTTCTCTTGTTACTGCACTTCACAATCAAGTTTGTCAACAGGTAAAATAATTGTGTGCAGTCCTAGTTAGCTTGACAGCAGGAATCAGTTGTCAACAGGTAAAATAATTGTGTGCAGTCCTAGTTAGCTTGACAGCAGGAATCAGCTGCATGTATTGCATAATTTGTGAAGAAACCCTGCCCTAACCCCCCCAAAAAAAAGTTAGCAGTGTAAGATATTTGCTATGTTTTTACCTCACACAAGCTATGTTAAGAGCTAGTCCTATACATATTTGTACAAGACACTCCTGATTTTTTTTTCATCTCGTAGTATCCGCCTTTCGTATGCTGTGTTGATCATGAGTGCAACTGTGCATATAGCGCATCTCTGCAGTTCTTTGGAAATGCTGTTAGAACTTTCCCCATTCCTTTTGCAGTCAACACACCTCTAATATTCTTCCATTGGATTGAAATGTTTAGCTGGGTTAGTTGCGGGAGATGTCTCTGTACTTATTTAAGTGTCCACTACACGAGGTACAATGAGTAATTAGCAAGAGAAATACCTGCATGATACCCTATTCGCTTGAGCTACTTTTCAGCCATGGAACAGTGTTTTCCTCTTACGACATTTCAGCATAAGCATCAGTATAATCCAAATTTCAGCATAAGCGAACAGGGTGCTAACTGGAACCTGTTATTATTGTTCTTGTAACAGAGAAAGAAGAGTTTCTTCCTCCCAGGCTAAGCACATGCTGTTATTGGGAACATACCTTATGATTGGACACAGGATGATTTTAAAAAATGCAGTGGTAAAAGTTGGTCCAGGATATTAAAAATTGATCTCAATAAGGTATGGATAAAATGCTAGGATTGTTCAACATCTTTAGTGTGCATCATTACAGTTGGTTTACTCTGAATGGCACCAATATCAGATAGCAATAAGGGTTGTATGTAATCTTTGAGACAACACAGTGTATTTTTTGGGTACTTTGTCATGTAGTATTGTTCTGAAATGATTTCCAACCTGAAGCCCAAACATGCAGAATCTGGACCTGTTTCGAGATTTCTAACAGTATTTTTGGGTACTCTATCATTTCACCAAACTAAGTAGTTCTCCGGAGTTCTGAAGCCCAAACATGTAGAATCTGAACCGTTCCCATCCTTGTAAGATAAAATAGGAAAACAAGAGAAGCGCAGTATAGAGTAGGGTATTCTTTCATTTTCCTGCATTTCGTGCAGGAAATAAGGCTTACATCATACTCGAACTATCCCATGCCTAATTGGGCAGTATTTATCGCTCCAAAAATCACCCAAAAAAATTAATTGAGCAACTTGTTTTTATCTCTCCAAAATTCAATTGACCGGATTTTTTTTCCTGAGAATTCATCAGTTGAGCAGCTTTATTACAATTTTCATTGAACAATCTCACGGACAAGGCGTGCAATAGCTGAAATTATGCTCGCAAAACTGCAGAATTAGTCTCATGTAGGCTTCACACACCATGGAGAGGTCTCCCGTGGCTGCTCCTCCAGGAATTGAGGAAGGGTTCTCTAGTGCTCTCCTTCGTCAGCTATATGTAAAGTTCACTGATCTCATCATCTTAAATAAGTGATTTTCATTTTTCATAGAAAGACAGTAATATATAAATCAGCCATGGAAAAATTGTCTGCGGACTATGCATTGTACTTATGCATATGATCTTTTTTTAGAAAAAGCATAGTGTGTTCTAAAAGAACGGAGTAGTGGGCATTTTCCATGGAGGAGATGCCATGGTTTCATTTTTTTTTTGAAGAAGAAGATGCCATGGTTTCATTGAGAGTGTCATGTCCTGCTTTGTTACCTTTTTCCTAGTATTAGGCAGCTATTGGGTGATACAGTGATACTGATCACGCAACAGCACTGCAGCAGGCACGGCGTCCAGATCAGGGTCTACCTGTTTCTCATCGAGTCATCTCTGAATTTTGTTATCCATTTCATGTATCCTGTCCTGTTATTTCCTACACATTATTTTGTACTGTATTCCGCCGTGGCACAATTTGTGACATTATGTTTTGATGGTTCATGCTTTTGTTACCAGTGATGAATTTAAACCGTATACACAGAATGTGCACACGATCGATCTAGAGATCATCTATTGGTCGGTCTATTTTGTCACATTCACCATAGAATCCACACAATACCACTGCTTAAGCAATGATTTCAGTTACCTGCAAGTTACGGCATTTGAGTGCAGAACAAGATGAAAAATGTGAGGGTCCATGATACTAATATACTATCTGCTGCATCTATATATGATTGCTTGGGCAATTATCTTGACATAATGAACTGGTTTATCTCTGGGTTGGCATCGTGGACCAGCACGACGAGACGTGCCGATGCCGACGCACGGGCGCAGGCCTCGCCGCCTCGCCGGCTGCCGGCCGCGCGAGAGTGGGGCGCATTACTCGCGGCCTTGGCCGCTGGTGCGAACATTCCTGGGGCACCTGACCTGAACACTTCGTATAGCAGGAATATTTGACTGCAATCATAATCATAATCATAATCATAATCATAATATAAAAAACTCGCTCTCCTATGATCGGCTACGTGTTAACCGCAGCATAAATGAAGCCAGCACATCGCTTGGTTACGTGTAGCAGTCTGATCCTTGACCCGCGTGGTCCACTGTCAGGCGCGTTCTGAGCTGTGTAGCAGCTGGCCGTGGCCAGCAGCCGCCCGAAACGCTTGCCAACGAGCAGGCTACAGCTTGTCAGCTTGCAGATTGGTATGCTACGGTGCTACCGTGGGCATACCTTCACTGTAAAGCTATTCAGCCACTAGTACGAATACTTTTTGTAGGTCTGTCGTCTAGCTTGAGGAGGAGCCGCGTTACCGTCAAACGGATAAGCCTGCCATTGGACGATGGTTGTGAACACGCGTGGCCTGCCGTGCGTGCGCCCAGCCCAGTGCCGATGGCTCCCAGATCAGATCAGATCAGTCCAGGCCGGTTCCTTCGTTTTCCTTAAACCTGTCGCCGCGCACGACACGGTTCCAACTCTTCTTTCCCTGGAAAACACTAGCACCGCACCCGATCGGTCGGCGATCGCGTCGCCTGGGCCCCCGTGCCCGTGCCCGTGCCCGCGCATCGTATAAAGTACGGCCCCTTCGCCCCCAGACCTTGACCTTTGCCGCCTCTCCCGTCTCCGTCTCCCCGTCCACGCCTGCTCAGCAGCTCAGGCGCTCAGCCCCAGTTACTCACCAGCTTTACCTCCTCGCAGTCCGCCGCTTCCCGCGTCGAGGCCGGCCGCGCGCCACTCTGAATCCCCAAGACACCACACCGGGCAACCTCGATAAGAGGCATCGGCAACGACGAGCACTAGGAGTCAGGCGGGCAAGGTACACGTCTCCTTCTCTCTCATCTTTGGATTGATTTGCCCTCTGCGTTCGTTTGCGCGTGATGAGCCAAGGTTTTCTCGTCGCACACATCAGTTTGTAGTCTCTCGCACCGGATTTTGTCGACGGCGACAGGCAAGAGCTGCCAGCTGCGTCGTCAATGATGTCTGTCCTAGGTGCTTCGCTCGTGATCTGTAGCAGTTGGTGGTTCTTGTGAGTTGTGACGTGTAAAACTATCTTCCAAAAGGCGAAATGGCGGTAGGAGAGTTTATCTTATCTGGGTTCTGGAGAGTTTACCCTGGGACTTGAAACGATCAATTTGTTGCAACCAGCACATGGCATTCCAAATTCTCTTTACTACTGCAGAACACGGCATGATTTAGATCCTTTTCTTCAAAAAAAAAACAACAACGGATTCACAGTTTCACACCGTTGAGTGATCATTATGGCCTCATTATAACCCCGCGCGCGTGTGCATTGCATGCAGATTGATTCGCACGAGCGCCTCGAGGAGCAGCCGATGATGCACGGGAATGGACACGGGCACGGGCACGGGCACGGCCGTGTCCACCCGGCGTCCTCCAGCTCCGACTTCTCCGGCGAGATGAACCAGTCCGTGTCCGACCCCTCCTCCAGCCCGCTCTACAGCTTCCACTTCGAGAAACCCGTCCCGCAGCATCCTCCCCCGCCGTCGCAGCCCGGCACGTACGTGGTGCAGGTGCCCAAGGACAAGGTCTTCCGCGTCCCGCCGCCCGAGAACGCGCGCCTCTTCGACCACTACACCCGCCGCGCCAAGCGCCGCCGCGGCCGCTCCTGCGTCCGCGTCTGCGCGTGCCTGCTCGCGGGGGCCGTCTCGCTCGCCGTCCTCGCCGCGGCCCTCGCCGGCGTCGCGTACCTCGTCCTCTGGCCGAAGCGGCCGGCGTACACGGTCCAGGCGCTCGCCGTGTCCGGCCTCGCCGGGCTCGGCAACGCCTCCTCCTCGTCCCCGGGCGTGTTCTCGCCGGGGTTCGACGCGACCGTGCGCGCCGACAACCCCAACGGCAGGATCGGCGTGCGCTACGAGGGAGGCCGCGTCTCCGTGTCGTACGACGGCGTGCTCCTGGCCGACGGCGCGTGGCCGGCGTTCTACCAGGGCCCCGGAACGTGACGGTGTTCGTGGCTAAGGCGAAGGGGTCCCGGATACGGTTCTCGCAGCGCGTGCGGGGGCAGATGGCCGCGGCCGAGCGGCTCCGGTCGGTGCCGTTCGACGTGGACGTCGAGGTGCCCGTGCGCCTGCAGCTCGGCAAGGTCAGGACGTGGGCCGTGCCGGTGCGGGCGCACTGCACCGTGGCGGTCGACAGGCTCGCCGCCGACGCCAAGGTGGTGTCCAGGTCGTGCGACGTCAAGGTGCACCTCCTGTCCTGGGGGAACTGATTACATGAGCAAAACAGTTCTTGTTTATTTTAGGATGCATTTTTCCTCATTTGTAAGTTGGTTTGATCGAGCAATATGGATCATATCATCGTAATATCATGTCATGGATGCTGCGAAATTGTCTTGCGACTTGTGTTGCTGGTGAGTTGCTCACCTGTTCTTTTGCTCAAGAGTTGAGACTGAGGAAACCGTTGTTTGTAGTTGACTACTCGTGTTGCATTGCACCTGAACAACGCTATTGAAAACTGACTGTGAACACTTGGAACTAAATACACGTCTTGGCGACACGATTTCCAGTTGTAACTTCACTTCCAAACATTGCCTGTTGTGTTGGTGGCATGATCACCTGAATACTGGGTAAATCTGTCAAGTAAATTGACTCTAATGTTTTGTCCAGGTACAACTCAAATTTAAGCCATGACTGAAAGTATTGTTGGCTGATTTGTTGTGAGAGAAAAATACTATTCGTTGGCTAAAAAAAGCACGGCTTATAAGTCGAGGGCGGTCGCTGACCAACTCTGGATTCGACGTGCTCGGCTGCTCAACGCCGCATGCGTTTCGCTGGGCCTCTTTTTCCTCGTGCTCCACAACCTCGTTGTCGAGGCCCACCTCGATTTCCTGGACACATTGAAAACTGCCCAGGCCGGTCACCTTGCCGCCTGCGTGGACCCAGGCACATTTATTCTTTAAGTAGGGGCAAACTATATCTTATTAGACCATATTTTATTATTTCTGTTTGATGTAAATTCTATGTTGCGAGCGAGGTGGCGGAAGACAACCGGATGGAAAGAGTCGACAACGGGTGAGCCCCCCCCCAAAAAATTGCCATTAGGGTGGAGGACTGGAGGCGACGATAGTAGGAGGTGGGACGGTGAGGTCGCCAACAGCCAAGATGGTGATCGAAGCACCAGTGGTGGGGTAACATAGTGAGAAAAAGGTTGAGAAGGTAAAAAAAAAAGAATGCAGAGGTTAGGGAAGGATGGGTTGCGACGACACTGTTGTAATGGATGGTGGGTGGCGATAAAGGTGGGCAAGGACGGTAGATTTGATCTGCAGGGAGTGCGGATGGAGAGGAAGAAAGAAGAAAAAAAGTAGATGTGGGAGCATTGGCATACCCATATATCTGTAAAATGTCCTTTGATCGTATAAATAAATGTACAAGATAGAGCAAGATGATTCTTCCTTCTTAGTTTTTAGTTTTATGATGGATCTTTTAAAAAACTTTGTACACTGTACTCTTATTTTCCTTAGCTATTGAAGACTATACATATAAATGGAATGCTCGTCCTGTGGCAAGGAAAAACTCAATCCTGAATTAGACGTATCGGAAGAGTCTGAGGGCATAGGTGAGCCTGACAACAGCATCCGACAGATGGATTTCTGAAATACCGAGAGCATTTCGATCCACCCACCCATCCATCCATCTCCAAAGCCAGAACAAGCAATGGCCCAAAGAGCATTTCTGCTCTACGTACTTATATAAGGCTGTTTAAGACCCACTGCAGAACCCAAATTCAAAATAGGTCTCCAATACAATACCTATAGTCTCTAACAGAGTGTCTATATGAAAGACCTATTTTTGGTGTCGGAAGAAACATAACCTAAATCTGAGTATTCTCTCTCCTGGAGACTAATTTATAGAAAGAGTTGTCCTTTAGGTCTTGTCGTTGGAGAAGACTAAAAATATGTATTGAATCATTTGCCTGTAATGCTACCTAAAGGATAAATGGGTCTTGAATTTTGAATCACGGTTGTTGGAGACAGTCTGAGACTGATTCTTGGTCAATTCATTTTGGTGAATCGTGATGTCCAGGTAGCTAACAATCAGTGGCGGACGCAGGAATTGAAAATTGGATATACAGGTTACATATATACACGCATGCCGAACCAAACCATTGTGGCATATGTACAGCTAAATGTCCATCAATTCAAAGCAAACAGTACTAGAACTAGAGCAGAGTACATCAGTACAATTAATTAATACATACAATATTTTTGAAGTCTCAACTAATAAAGGAACATTACAAATTTATTCGACGAGGCGGCTTTTGGAATCAAGAGATGATGTCTTCATCAGCGACACATAGAAAAAAATTGCTTCTCAATGAATGTAACCAATCAATCATTCAAGTACTGGCCCCCATGCTATTTCTTAGCTTGTTCTTTATGAAGTTCATCACTGAAAATGCTCTTTCAACACTTGCAGTTGCAACCGGTAGCAATAGGACTAATTTCAGAAGCTTGTAGACATACGAGTGTAAGACATGCTTATTTGTTTCAACAAGCAAAACTGAAAGCTTGGCAATACTTTTCACTTTGCTAAATCTTTCATCACCACGCATATCAACAATAAAGTTACCAAGCTGATAGGTTAGACGTTTCAAATCAATGAACGAGAAGTCTTTGGGATAAAACTTTGCAAGTTTTACTAAGTTATCCTTGTCAAAAGAAGCAAATGAACCACAAAGACTTCAAATCAACAATTTTTAATCTCTTTACTTGACTAAATCCCTACAATTAAATATATATATATGCTTAATTAAATAAATATGAATCAATTGCAAATTTGCAACAACCAATCAAAGATGAACTAATACTGTCTATTGAGGGCTAGATGTCTAGAACACCAACCTATGGTGGCTGTGGCTCTGAACTTGCTGTTTGAACTGTTGTCGCTGCGTCTGCGTGTGGGTGCGGTGCTGGCGTGGCTTGCTCCATCTCGTCCTCGGCGACTGCGATATCTTCCCCCAAGCCGGTCGTAGCCTCCGCTTTAGACGCCTCCGCGCCGGCCATGGGTTCTTCTAGGCGCATCTCGTCCTCAGAGCTCAGATCCACGCGACGGCGACCGACAGCCGTCCGACGCCCGCCGGTGCCGGGTGGTGCCATAGCGAGGAACTACGAAGGGGATTTTTTTTTGTTCGAGTCGATGCAGCAGGGGCGACGAGCACTGGAGCCTGGAGGCGACCACGGTGCTCTGGTTCTCTCGGTGACTTTCCTTCTTGGGCTAGCAGGCCGGCCCAGCTAGATGGTGCACGGGAGGAGGCAAGAAACTGGCCTTTTAACACTTTCTTGATCAAATATACAGAGTTTGATCTACTTACATGTATTATATATGTATATGCATAGTAGCTGTAATTTTTTTCTCAAAATTATTGGGTGTATGTCCACGTACTGCGTCCGCCCATGCTAACGATAGTAGGGCCATCCACGTCGTGGCGCGCCCGGCTTATCGTCCAAATCTACACCAGTGAAATTGTCGTGAGCTTTGTTATTATTTTCTTTCCTTGCTTTTGCACTTCAATGCTGAGATCTGCATATCCGCTTCCAGTTCTGAATTTCTGAACACATTGTTGGTGCGCCTCCACGAACCTCAAAAAGGAGACGTGCGTACAACATGAACACGCAGGTTTCAAACAGAACGATGCAGCCGCTTGCCATGCAGCGCACACATACAGCACGGAAAGATTTCACTCTCGGACGATCTTGATGAGATTGAGCGCGTCAAAAGCACGAGTGCCTTTGATTCGTCAAATAGAGCTAAAGTCCCGTACTCCCGTTGCCGTCGGAAACTGGCGGAGCACGAGGAGCAGATCGATCAATACTATGTGCTTCGGTCAGCTTCGCTACGCTAAACACCAGGCTGATGCATGCAGCGCATGATTGATTGGCATTATGTTGAAGCAAACGCAAAGACAACTTTAGAGACGCAGATGAGTTCGGATGAGCACGCGCACCGTACCAGGTTGGTAGCTCGTTGCGCGTCGCAGCGTCAGCGTGTGATCATATCTAGCCGTAGCGTGTGGCGAGCGATGAGACGAGGTCGCTGTAGGCGGACGAGACGACGCCATCCTGGTCCGCCTGCCGCCTGCGCCTGGAAAAGGCCAGGGCACCAACCCCTGTGGCCCATGCGGCCGGGTTATAAATGGACCCGGCGCGGCGGCATGTGCAGTGCAGGCGCGGCGAGGCGAACGAGAGAGATGCGTGGCTGGAGTGCTGGCTGCTGGCAGCTGCGCGCACGGAGCAGACATGCTCGTGGTGCCGCGTGCGTTAGCGCCTGGTGGGGTGGATCTGGTTCAGGATCGCCCCTTTTCGGCGTGTTGGCTTTGCGCAGTCGAGCACGGGAAGGATAACGTCTCTGATCTGGACGCCGGTCGGATGCGCTGATGGGACCGCGTCATGCTACTGATTGGATTGAATTGAGCCAAAAATCATTGCACTGATGATTCTGATCCGTGCTTGCTAGTGCTACAGCGAGATCCTACTACACGTTGACGGGAATGGGACTAGTACTCGCTCGCATCCGAACGAGTTTGACTGCGTACTGTACGTAGCTTGTACTACCTTGCAGTACTCCGTTCCGCAGGACAAGAAGAAACACGGGGTGCGCTGCCGGCAACGCTACCCATCATCGTCAGCTCATCGCCGTCGGGACCGAGCGACCAAAATTGCGGCGTTTTTCGCGTCCCTTCCTTTCCCGCGTCGCCGCCAGCTTGGCGCTGTCTGGACGGGAAGGGCGACTCCTGCTGCTGCAGCCGCACAGCCTGCCTTGGGCAGTTGGGCGGAAAAAACGTCGTGCACACTGCACAGGCACAGCACCGCTCGTGGTTTGCTTGCCCTTGTCTCGTCGGCTTCTAGCGCGAGCGCGAGTGACGCGACAAGGTTGGGGGTGGTCCACTTGCTCCCGCCGTTTTTTTCCCGTGGTTACTCGTGACGGCTTCTGCCGACGTCGGCCTCGACTCTTACTAGATGCATGCACAGTATGCCGATGTGACCAAAGCAGCCTGAATGTGCAGATGGTAGAGCAGGGAGACTGAGAGCAGCGTCGTCGCGAACGGGAATACTACACCCTACTGAGCAGGAGTCAGGAGACGAGTACCATGGAATTGGAATTGCAATGACTTCCCTGTCGATTATCTCGTTCGGGCCAGACGAACGGTCAAACTTAAGATAAAGAAAAATTAAATGAATTATAATTTAAAATAGAGGGAGTATCACTCTAC